TGAAATTCTTTCAAAATGCTACTCCTCCTACAGTTTTAGTCTAATTTCAATATAACTTGGCACACAAGTAGACTACACTAAGATACACAATTCTGTGTATCGGTTTTTGATTTCGATGAACGGTGTTGCCGTGGTTACTAAAAATAGAAATTTCTGTGAAATTCTTTCAAAATTCTACTCCTTCTACAGTTTTAGTCTGATTTCAATATAACTTGGCACACAAGTAGACTACACTAAGATACATAATTCTGTATATCGGTTTTTGATTTCGATGAACGGTGTTGCCGTGGTTACTAAAAATAGAAATTTCTGTGAAATTCTTTCAAAATGCTACTCCTTCTACAGTTTTAGTCTGATTTCAATATAACTTGGCACACAAGTAGACTACACTAAGATACACAATTCTGTGTATTGGTTTTTGATTTTGATGAACGATGTTGCCGTGGTTACTAAAAATAGAAATTTCTGTGAAATTCTTTCAAAATGCTACTCCTTCTACAGTTTTAGTCTGATTTCAATATAACTTGGCACACAAGTAGACTAAGTTTTAGTCTGATTTCAATGTAACTTGGCACACAAGTAGACTACACTAAGATACATAATTCTGTGTATCGGTTTTTGATTTTGATGAACGGTATTGCCGTGGTTACTAAAAATAGAAATTTCTGTGAAATTCTTTCAAAATGCTACTCCTCCTACAGTTTTAGTCTGATTATAATATAAATGTGGCATGCAAGTAGGCTGCACTAAGAACATAAAGAGACTTAATCAAGGATCATTATTCTGTTTATTGCTTTTGAAAAGTTTCAATTTCCAACTGCTTAAGTACTTTTCTCTTCCTTTGCTATAAGTACAAACCAGTAGAGCTTCAGTCTCGACAGAGACTTCTGGTTATATTTATGCACCGGTAGATATTATTGCGCCGTGTGATTAGGTCACGTATTGACCTCTGACCTCAGACAAACTTCATACAGAATTGAAGATATTTGTTCCCCGTATGTTTATATAATAGAGAGATACCACAAATGTAAATATTTATTTTTAAATACACTGTACAAGAAATACAGTTTTGTGTGAGAAGAATCCTACCTTAAGCTCACTTGAGCTGAAAGCTTAACTGAGCTTTTCTGATCACTTTTTGTCTGTTAGTCCATCTCTATGTACTTCTTTAAGTGTAAACTTATTATATTTTGGCCTTCTTCCCCAGAACCACTGGGCCATTTTCAACCTAACTTGCCACGAAGCATCCTTGTATGAAAAGGATTTGAGTTTCTTCAATTGAAAGGCCACTATCTCTGTCAAGGGCAGATAATATAGAATTAGTGAAAATGTTGTATACATGTGTGTATTTTAAAAATCTTCTCAAGAATCACTGTGCCAAAAAAGTTAAATCTTATGGGAAACCTTATTTAATTATATATCTGATGTATTCAGATTTTTTTTTTAAATCATGACCCCCAGGGGTAGGATGAGGCCATAATGGGGGTCATCAAAGTTTTACATAGGAATATATAAGATTAAGAACAGAACTTCAAAAATCTTCTCAAGAACAGCAAACCCATGGTAAGTCATACATGTATTGATATGGAATCATCCTCAGGTAGTGAGGATTCAAATTTGTTCAAATCACAAATCTTAGGGTAGGGCTGAGCCACAATGGGAATGAATTGGATAAAAATCTTTTGAAAAGCTTTAAATAATCTTCTGCTCAAGAGCAGCAAATCTATTTGTTGAATTGATATGGAATTTTCCTCAGGTAGTTGATAAGTTTAATTCATCCTTAATTGTAGAAGTCTTGAAATTTTGTTTAATCCATTCATTTGTGAATAAATGAATTTTTCAAAGTAGTTATTTTAATAATTATAACGAAACTTTTTATATAGTTACATGTAATTCTGAATGAGTTATTATTCCTTCAAATGATAGTACATGTAATTATATTTAACATAGCAAATATTAATAAACAAATAATAATAATTAGGGCCATACAAGGAGTTTCTGATGCCTTTTTAATACTAATCACTTTCTGTCACTGTCCATTTTTAATACCCTACATGTATTTTGGTTCTTTTTGCAAACCCTCTACCAAGCTGTAAAGGAAGTGAATCGGCAGGAATCTGGGCGTAATTGAAAAGTGAAAATTTTATCGATATATCACATGAAATTTTAACATTTCTTTTAATTTATCGGGTTCCTGTGCAACAGGAAAGGAAAATATTTTCCCGAAATTGAGCTTTGCTAAAAAATAACTTGAAAATTGGCCAGATCAGACATTTGGTACAAAATGGTACATTTTTAAATACGTTTTTCTAAAATTTTTCTATCTCTGGGTCTTCTCTCCATGATTTTGAAACGTTATTTGTGTGTATTTTAATTCAAAGAAACGAATACATATTTTTAAAAAAAATGGAGAGAGAACCCAGAGACACTGAAAAATGAACTTTTCCCCAAAAAATTCAAATGTATGAATGTGGTGCTTCTTTGTCCTTTTTAGCTCACCTGAGCCGAAGGCTCAAGTGAGCTTTTCTGATCACATTTTGTCCATCGTCCGTCCGTCCGTCCGTCTGTCTGTCCGTCTGTAAACTTTTCACATTTTCAACTTCTTCTCAAGAACAACTAGGCCAATTTTTATTAAACTTGGTACAAAGCATCCTTGGGTGAAGGGGAATTTAAATTGTTAAAATAAATGGCCAAGTCTCCTCACAAGGGGAGATAATCAAGAAAAGACAAAAATAGGGTGGGGTCATTAAAAAATCTTCTTCTCAAGAACCACTGGGCCAGAAAAGCTGAAACTTATGTAGAAGCATCCTAAGGTAGTGTAGATTCTAAATTCTTCAAATCATGACCCCCGGGGGAAGGGCGGGGCCACAATGGGGAATCAAAGTTTTACATAGAAATATATAGGAAAAATCTTTGAAAATCTTCTTCTCAAGAACCACTGGGCCAGAAAAGCTTAAACTTATGTGGAAGCATCTTGGTATAGTGTAGATTCTAAATTGTTCAAATCATGACCCCCGGGGGAAGGGCGGGGCCACAATGGGGAATCAAAGTTTTACATAGAAATATATAGGAAAAATCTTTGAAAATCTTCTTCTCAAGAACCACTGGGCCAGAAAAGCTGAAACTTATGTGGAAGCATCCTGGTATAGTGTAGATTCTAAACGATTCAAATCATGACCCCCGGGGGAAGGGCGGGGCCACAATGGGGAATCAAAGTTTTACATAGAAATATATAGGAAAAATCTTTGAAAATCTTCTTCTCAAGAACCACTGGGCCAGAAAAGCTGAAACTTATGTGGAAGCATCTTGGTATAGTGTAGATTCTATATTGTTCAAATCATGACCCCCGGGGGAAGGGCGGGGCCACAATGGGGAATCAAAGTTTTATATAGAAATATAGGAAAAATCTTTGAAAATCTTCTTCTGAGGAACCACTTGGCCAGAAAAGCTGAAACTTATGTGGAAGCATTCTGGGGTAGTGTAGATTCTAAATTGTAAAATCTTGACCCCTGGGGGAAGGGCGGGGCCACAATAGGGTTAAGTTTTACATAGAAATATATAGGAAAAATCTTTGAAAATCTTCTTCTCAAGAACCACTTGGCCAAAAGAGCTGAAACTAATGTGAAAGCATCCTGGGGTAGTATAGATTGTAAATTGTACAAATCATGACCCCCGGGGGAAGGGCGGGCCAGAATTGGGAATCAAAGTTTTACATAAAAATATATAGGAAAAATCCTTGAAAATCTTCTTCTCAAGAACCACTGGGCCAGAAAAGCTGAAACTCATGTGGAAGCATCCTGGGGTAGTGTTGATTCTAAATTGTTCAAATCATGACCCCCGAGGGAAGGGCGGGGCCACAATGGGGAATCAAAGTTTTATATAGAAATATAATTATATTGGAAAATCTTTGAAAATCTTCTTCTCAAGAACCACTGGGCCAGAAAAGCTGAAACTTATGTGCACATGGAAGGATCATGGGGTAGTCGTGTAGATTTTAAAATATCTAAATTATGATAAGTGGGGTAGGGTGGGGATGCATTATGTATTACAAGGGGGAAATCTGGTAAAGAACAGAATGGTTAAATCTTCTCAGGTGAGTGATGTGGCCCATGGGCCTCTTGTTAAATCTACTGTACTTGCTTAGCGGTGATAGCTCAGTAATTAAGGCTACCTGTTCAGTGCACTTGAAGTGAGAAGTTTTTGGTTTGAGCCTGGCATGGGGTGTTAATATTTTTTCATGCAAACAACCATTTATTTTGTCGTTTTGTTTTTTGCTCTGATGTATTAAAATTTTGAATTTAGATAAATTTTGGTTCAGTTTGGTTCTCGAGCGAAATCAATTCCAATCTTCTATTCTATAATGTACATGTAGACGTATCATGCATCTATGCATTAAATGTTTTAGGTGTTTATTTTTTGTGAAACATTACTATGTTATAGTACCCCCTACGAAAAACAGACATAAAGGTTACAATCTCACAAGGTCTTTCAAACTAAATGAGAAAAAAAACCTATGGACGTGTTTGTAAATTCTGACCAGCTATGATCACCAACCAAATCATGGACATTTAAACCATAAATGTTTCGTACAAATGATTCCTGCAGATCACATGCCAAATCCGCCCATCTTCTTTCCTATTTTCAAGTTGAGGAAAGAAAGTTGAGTTATTTCACTTATCATACTGGGTATATGCTACTATAGAGAGACACAAAATATTTCTTATTGATATGAAATTTTTATTTATTAACTTAAATAACATTATTTAAAGCTAAGTACATTTTATAATTAAATTAATATAAGAGAATAAAACTGTAAGAATATCAGTTGATATCATTTTGTTGATCAACTGACAAGAAAAAGAAAAAAAACACCTGCTTCCAAAGAAAAAAAAGTACATGCCTGCCACATTGAATTTTCTTTTTGATATAATTTATTGAATTAATAATATCATGTTCTACTCCCACCCTTAAATGCACTGATAGCATTTTACTGTTTGTAGGTTGTTTTTTGTGGGAGCCCAGAATAAACAGTTTCCTACATTTATGTCAATGATTGACGTGAAAAGGATGACACCTTCACCCTCCCTGCTTGTCATTGTAAGTATTTCTACTTTCAGTCCTACTCTTAAACTAGAAGCAGGTTGTTTGAAGAGTGACACGATCTGCTCTGGAAGATTTTTTTTTATTTTACTAACAAGACAGTTATATACTTTTGTAATTTTATTACCGACATTCAACTTGGGAGGGAAAAAAGATTTTGTATTGAATCATCATGTTTTTTTTTTTTCATATAAATTTAGCAATCTGGAATCAATTCATATCTGAAATTCTGAAAGTTGCAACAGAATTCCTAAGTAAATCAATAGGACTGGGTATTGGCCAATGAATTCATATTGCGATAATTTTAACTGTATGGCGATATGAATTGCAATATTTTTAATGTTATTAAAATGGCATTTTCTTATTAAATTAACTTTAATTTACATACAGAATATATATAACTATGATAAGCAAGCAAAAGAAAAAAAATTGTTGTTTTTATTGAATTTCTGTTTTGAAATACACCCATAAAACAGTTCCTTCTTACTGTTTGGCTTAATAACAAACCTTTCTTACATTTGTTCTTATATTTAATGATAAAATTCCTAAGTCAAAGCATTTTGCTGGTATATCGATATTACAAAAATGTATTGCGATATGATATTGTTTGTCGTTGTATTGCAATATACCAAAATATTGATATTTTTTCCCAGATTTATAAATCAAAGTCTAGATTATAAAAAAATATTGATAAATTCAGTTAGACAGCAAAAGATTCTACATTTCAGCATTTAGATATTAAAGACTAAACTGGTAAATATTAAGGTAGGTCCGTACTTTCAGAATTTTCTGTCAAACTGATAATTTTTCAATTTGAATACTTTGAACAAGTCTTAAACTTACTAAAACACCCTTAAAAGACATATCTTTGCAGATTGATTTTCATACAACATGTCTCAGCACACATACCTCTAAAAACTCAACAGCCAAAATTGCACATAAAAAAGTGTGATATCATATTTCTCTTAGTTATGCACCAAATCACATCAAATTTATGTTAAAACATATGAAGATCAAAAATATTCATTTACCTAGAGAAAATTTGAAATTTTTACTGCAAAACATTAACAAATCGGTGTTGAATCTGTCCATGCCTTTCAGAAAAAAATCTCAAAATATCTTTATTTTTTATAATTCTTAAAATCCAATATGTTTAGATGCCATTTTTTCTTTAAAACTATTGAGAATTATATCTAATGTTAACAAAAACATCTACTTTATTATGATTGACCAGAGAATTTTAACAAAACAGTCTTTTGAAGACGTAAACCCCCCATTTTTGAAATATCAATTTTTTCAATTATTCAATGTAAAATTTTTAAATAATAGAAATTAAATGGATGATATAGGCTCTTAATCAATAAAAATAGATCTCAGGTTAGTTTGCTTAAAAGAAAATTAAAAAGATTTAGGTCTTTAAAAGCAATTAAGAATTTTGTGTCTGGATAAGTTCTAAATGACATATAGGTCTTATGGACAGAATGCAAAGTTTTAATTTCCATAAATAATGTATATTATATGCTTCATATGCACAATAACACTATAATAAACAAATATTTACTTGCTAAATCATTCTCAATCAATCAAAAAGATTTATATCAATAGAAAAGTGAAAATCATAATTTTTTTATATTTTATTTTATTTGTGTAAAATTAGAACCGGATCCGTAAAAGTGTGGGCCTTCCTTAAATTAACAATCTCATAATAATGATGCTAAAAGAAAATCATGCAAAATAAAGCATTCATTAATGACAAAGGGACTTCATTAGATGTATTTCAGATTGGCAAAACATGGGTACAGCCACGTAAAGGAACTTAACTAAACAGGTTTAAAAAGAGTTTATAGAACACTCATGAAGAAAAGATGTAATATCTGCTTAGTATAATAAATGTATAAATCTGTATACTATTTCAGATAAAAGGGCTCAACATTCATAAAAAATACATGTGAATATGGAACTTTATTTTGATATATTCTCAATTGTTGAAATTTTTTCATTGAAATATCCTGCAGTCAATTCTTGATTAACTACATGTTTTTAGCTCATCACCTAGAGGGATTCGAGATGAGCTTATGCTATACCCTCAGTGAAGGCATCCTGGTTAAAGTATATGGAGAAAGTCCATTCCCAAGTAGCTACAAACCCTACCTATACCAAACTTGCATATATATAGTACCAGCACATCTAGGGATTGGCACTAAGGGCTGGGTATCTGCTGGAAATATCTTATTGTGATTTGTAGTGCAATATGTTAAAAGACACTTAAATTTCTCTTTTTCCTATTTTATAAACCTGCATCTGTTTCTATTAACACAGTGTTACAAAGCAGTTTTAGTTAATTTCACTATAGTTTTGGAACAAAATGAACACAATATGGTCATTTTACAGCAACTTTACCATTTGGCACTGTTTGGAATGATTAAAAATGTTTCTGACATATTAAATTTAATATTTTATTTATGAAATCTAAAGCCCAAAGAGTTTGTCAGTATATTGGTACTGGAAAACTGTATTACAATATATTTTTTTGTTAATGAATCTCAATATACTAGAATCTTGATATTATTTTGCAGCCCTAATTAAAACTACCACACTTGCTTCAGATCTGACCTATAAGGCTATTGTTTTCCACATGCGTGAATTTTATCCATACTTTTAGCAAATTGGCATGGATGGTAGGTGTAGGGGATGGACATTTCCAGACTTGCTATGTATGAATAACCAAGGTATTAGATTCTAATCATAGGCAGTGGGGAGTTGTAAAATCTCAAAGGCTTTTTTGAAATGAATGTGTAATACAGGAATATAATGTATCATTTTTTTTTTCCTTGATTATCAAATATATAATTTTAATTAGATTTACCGGTAGTTGTAACACCTCATTTGACTGGGTAAAAGATTTAATACATTTCATATAACATAAGTTGCCCACGTCTCAATGAGTTACGTCAAAAATATATATTACTCCGCTTGACCTTACTTCTAAAAAAAAATATATTACTCCGCTTGACCTTACTTTTAAAATATGTTCAATTTGAAGCCTTTTTTCTGGAGGAAAAATTGTCTCATTGTCTACACTGAAATTAAATAATATTAAGAATGATGCTTATTTCAACTTATGTCAATGACGTATGCTTTTTAGCTCTTCTGAGCCAAAGGCTCAAAGAGCTAATGCTAAGGCCATTTGTGCGGTGTGCGTAAACTTTTTAGAATATGGGCCATAACTCAAGAACCCCTTGGCCAATCAGTACCAAATTTGCTACAAGGTATCCTTGGCCCAAGGACTACCATTTATACTAAAATAAGGGTTAGGACCCTTAAACAGGGAGAGATAATCAGGAAAACAAAACCAAAAGTACTGGTTGCTAAAAAATCTTCTTCTCCATAACCACCAGGCAGATTTTCACCAAACTTACATACAAGGATCAGGATATGTCGAAGATTAAAATTTGCACGGGGAATTACCCTGGGGCAAAGGGCGTGGTCTCAAGGTCACTTCAAAGTTGACCTAAATTTACAATTAATAAAAACGTGTATATTTTGCTTACTATAAGGACTAGGATCATCAAATCTTGTAAGTTGATGCATCTTACGACTTCACATCATGTAAACTCAAAAGTAGGTCACAGTGACCTACTTTTAAAATTTTGCGGGGATTTGTTTTCAAATTGATTTGAAGGCATATTTTGGACACTTTAAGGCCTATGATCATCAAACTTTGTCAGTTGATGTATCTTGGGTCCTCAAACAATGTCAACTTAAAAGTAGGTCACCATGACCTACTTTTTGAACTTTATGACTTATCCTTTTAAAAACATTAAATCCCATTATTTCAGACACTGGGAGGTTTAGAATCATCAAATCTTGTACTTTGATGCATCTTGGGACCTTAAAACATATTTATGAAAAAGTAGGTCACTGTGACCTACTTTTTGAATTTTGCTGACATTTGTTTTCAAATTGTTTAAAACGCATATTTTGATTACCTTCAGACCTATGATCATCAAACTTTGGTCAGTAGATGCATCTTGGGTGTTTAAAAAATGTTGACCAAAATGTGGATCACGATGACCTACTTTCGACATTTTATGGCTATATTTAAGTATCTTAGGTATTTATTGGCTTAAAAGCATCAAACTTTGTGAGTGGATACATATTTGGTTTTCGGAGAGTGACGATGAAAAAGTAGGTCACGAAGACCTACTTTTGACATTTTATGGCTATATTTAAGTATCTCAGGTACTTATTGGCTTAAAATCATCAAACTTTGTGAGTTGATGCATCTTGGGTTTTCGGAGAGTGACAACCAAAAAGTAGGTCATGGTGACCTACTTTTGACATTTTGTGGCTATAATTATATATCTCTGGTACTTATAGACCTAAAATCGTCAAACTTTGTCAGTTGATGCATCTTGGGTTTTTGAGATTGTCGACCAAAAAGTAGGTCACAGTGACCTACTTTTGACATTTTATGGCTATATTTAAGTATCTCAGGCACTTATTGGCTAAGAATCATCAAACTTTGTCAGTTGAGGCATTCTTGGGTTTTCGGAGAATGTCAACCAAAAAGTAGGTCAAGGTGACCTACTTTTGAAAATCTCAGATACTTATTGGCTTAGAATTATAAAATTTTGTCAGTTTAGGCATCTTGGGTTTTTGGATAACATCGACCAAAAGTAGGTCACCGTGACCTACTTTTGACATTTGATGGCTATATTTAATATCTCTGGTACTAATCGGCTTAGAATCATCAAACTTTGTTGGATGATGCATCTTGGGTTTTCAGAGAATGTTGACCAAAAGTAGGTCATGATGACCTACTTTTGAATATCTCAGGTACTTATTTAATTAGAATCATCAGCATCAGTCTTTGTCAATTAATGTATCTTGAGTCCTCAGAAAATTTCAATCAAAAGGTAGGTCACTGTGACCTACTTATGGTATTTCATAATTGGCTAAATATTATCAAACTTTGTAAGTTGATGCATTTTGGG